TTACTTGTCTCGATTTTGTTTAGTTGTATTTCTGGAGTTTTGTTCCATTCTTTCATTTGGGGCATACTTCTTTGTCTCCTCATTTTACTTGCCTCTCTTTGTTTGTTTCTACATATTAGGTAGAGCTGTTATGTCTTCTAGGCTTGATAGGGTGTCCTAATGTAGTAGGTATCCCGTAGGGTCCAGTAGCACAACCTCCTAGATCACCCCAGCTGGGCACTCAGGGTGCACTCCCTCACATGTGGGCTGTACACACCCTTCTATTGTAATTGAGTTTTGATTGCTGTTGGAATGTCAATGGGAGGGATTTACTCAGGCTGATAAGCTGCAAGGACTGGCTGTGACCACTGACCACCAACCTCTGACCCCCTTGGAGAATCAGCTGTGCTGGGGTCCACTACACAGAGCAAGACTTACTTCAGCAGAGCTCTGGTACCCACTGAGTCTACCCCTTCATTGTGTCGCTTGTGGAGATGGTTGGTTTGTGGTGCTTCGACGTGGTCTGAAGCTGTGCACTGGGTGTGCTGGCTCTAGGGCCTCCTGGGAGGTGCAGGGCCAAGGTCAGCCACTAACTGCATTCTACCCAGGGTCACCAGGCATAAGCTACAAAGTGATCTGCGAATGGCTGCTTCTTGTGCTGGGTTTGGAGGTGCTGAAGATCCCCTGCTGCAATTTGAAGGTGCCACAGAACATTGCTCTGAGCATTGCTGAATTAAGTGATACACATTAGTTAGACATAATGTTTTAACTAGTTCAGGCATGAAAGAATTATGGCCGGATGGTGGTTTTGGGTTTGGTTTTTAATTCATGTCTTTGTCTTTGAGTGTTTAGGCAAATTTTTATCAATAGAAAATTAAATTAATTTTATTTTGTATAATAGTCTCCTCAGTCTCTTTGACTGTCTTACACAAATTTAAAATCTTCAAACACACATGATATTGGAGAGCTGGATATAAAATGTTTCCCTCAGCTCTACTTCTCCAAAGGAGTATAAGTCACATATTTTTTTACTTGATTAGTATGATTGGTTAGAATGATTCTTACTCTTTTTTTAAAATTTATCTTTATTGTTGAATGTATTACAGATGTTCCTCCTTTTTCCCCTATTGACCCCGTCTTCCCCACTCCCACCCCCCGTCTGCCTTTCCCCACACTGTTGTCTGTGTCCATTGGTTATGCATATAAATTCTTTGGTTTATTTATTTCCCCCCAGCCCCCATCCCTTTGAGTTTTGTCAGTCTAACAACCAATTTGTACCTCTTAATCCCTTCACCTTTTTCACCCATTCCCCCAATCCCCCTCCCATCTGGCAACCAACAAAATGTTCTCTGTATCTATGATAATGTTTCTGTTCTGCTTGTTCATTTTGTTTGTAGATTCAGTTGTCGATGGATATGTATTTATTGCCATTTTATTGTTCATATTTTTGTTCTTCTCCTTCAAGAAGACCCTTAAACATTTCATATAATACTGGTTTGTTGGTGACAGACTCCTTTAGCTTTTTCTTGTCTGGGAAAATCTTGATATATCCATCTATTCTAAATGATAGCTTTGCAGGATAGAATAATCGTTGCTCTGAATATTTCTTGCCACTCCCTTCGGCCTGCAAAGTTTCTTTTGAGAAATCAGCTGACAGTCTTCTGGGAGCTCCCTTTTAGGTAACTAACTGCTTTTCTCTTGCTGCTTTTAAGATTCTCTCTTTGTCTTGAGCCTTTTGCATTTTGATTATGATGTGTCTTGGTGTGGGCCTCTTGTGGTCCATCTTGTTTGGGACTCTCTGTATTTCCTAGACTTGTATGTCTGTTTCCTTCATCAAAGACCAAAACAAAACAAAACAAAACAAAACAAAACAAAACAAAACAAAAGGAATACACTTTAAAGGTTAAATTGCTGGGTCAAAAGGTTCATCTTGTTTGGGACTCTTTGTGCTTCCTGGACTTATAAGTCTGTTTCCTTCACCAAGTTAAGGAAGTTTTCTGTCATTATTGTTTCAAATAACTTTCAATTTCTTGTTCTCTCTCTTCTCCTTCTGTCCACTCCCATGATGTGATGTTGATAATCTTGAAGTTGTCCCAGAGGGTCCTTACACTATCCTCATTTTTTTGGATTCTTTTTTCTTTTTGCTGTTCTGATAGGGTGTTTTTTGCTTCCTTATATTCCAAATCGCTAGTTTGCTTCTTGGCTTTACCTCTACTATTGAATCTCTGTAAATTATTTTTTATTTCAGTGCCTCCTTCTTTTCTGACTGGTCTTTTTCATGCTCTTGAGGCCCTCACCAAGTTCATTGAAGTTCTCACCAAGTTCATTGAGCATCCTTATAAGCAGTGTTTTGAACTTTGCATCTGTTTGATTGCTTATCTCCATTTTGTTTAGTTCTTTTCCTGGAGTTTTGTTCTGTTCTTTCATTTGGGACATGTTTCTTTGTCTCCTCATTTTGGCTGCTTCCCTGTGTTTGTTTGTATGTATTATGTAGAGTTGCTATGTCTCCTTGGGTTACTTGGGTGGCCTGTTGTAGTAAGTGCCCTGTAGTATCCAGTGGCACAGCCTCCCTGGTCACCCAGCTGGACCCTCGAGGTACACCCCTTGTGTGTACTTTACACCCTTATGTTGTAATTGAGTCTTGATTTCTGTTTGCACACATCAATGGGAGGGATTTCCTCAGGCTGATCAGCTGCAAAGACTAGCTATGCCCACTGACTACTGACCTCTGACTACCTTGGAGGATCGGCTGTGTAGGGGCCCACCACACAGAGCAAGACTTACTTCAGCAGGGCTCTGGTACCCACTGAGTTCAATCCTTGAGTGTGTCACTTGAGGAGATGGTTGGGTGGTGGTGTTTTGGTGTGGTCTGAAGCTGTCCACTGGGTGTGCTGGCTCTGGGGCAAGGTTAGCTACTGCCTGTGTTCTACCCAGGGCCACCAGGCATAAGCTAAAGAGTGGTCTGCCAATGGCTGCTGCTTGTGCTGGGCTTGGAGGTGCCCGTCAAAGCCAAGTTGTGAACCAAAGTTGGCTGCTTCTAGTGCCAGGCCTGGTGCCACTTAACGAGAGGTATGGGGCTCGCTGAGACTAGATGCTGCTTGTTTGAGAGATTTTAGGAAACTCTGAAGCAGGATCCAAGACAGGCCATTTCTATGGTAAAGCCCTGGAAACAGCTTGGGTGGGCCTGAAAGTTGGGTGAGGCAGGGCCTCAGGGAATCACCAGCTTAGGCTAAGCAGTATTAGCCAGGTTGCTGGAGTCCCAGATATGGCTGCTGTCTGCTGGCTTCATTGGGGAAGGATTCACCAAAGGAACAAAGGCCTCCGACAGCAAGTCTGTCCAGGAGAAAGCTGCCTCTCCAGCCCTCACCCCAATGCCAAACAACTGAGTTCTTCATGTGTCTCTGGTGCCTTTCAAGCTGCCTCCTCCATGCTGGAGCTCAGAGGGAGCAAGTTTGAGTAAGTTTGTGAGCAGGCCCTTTAAGAGGAGCTGCCTGGGGCTCCATCAGGCTCAGTCTCCTTCAGCCTCAGTTCCTGCTGGTTTTTATAGCCAGAAGTTATGGGGACTTCTCTTCCTGGCACTGGAACCCTGACGGGGTGTGGGACGGGGATCCTTCACTTCTCTGGTAGGACCTTTACAGCCAAGGTGTCCCTCCTGATTTTTATCCACCACATGTGGGTGTGGGACCAGCCTGTCCGCACCTTTGCCCCTCCTGCCAGTCTTGATGTGGCTTCTTCTTTAATTTCATAGTTGGAGGACTTCCATTCAGCTTGATTTCAGGCAGTTTTGAATGTTGATTGTTCTGTAGTTTAGTTGTATTTTTGTTGTGGTTGTGGGAGGAGGTTAGTATTGCGTTTACCTCTGATTCTTACTCTTTACATTAAAAATTACTTTCTTATTTTTAAAAGTAATGTGTGTTCATTATAACAAAAATTGAGATAGTACAGAAACATAAAGAAGAAAATAAAAATAGCTAACAACCCTAACATGCAGAGCTAACTCATCACTTTGTTGAATGCCCTTCTAGACTTTTCTACTCACACATACATATTTTACCAAAATGGCACTATATATTCTTGATTTTCCCTTTTGTAGAACTTTATTTAATTATACTCTTTGGGCCACAAAGTTTCCAGTAGAACCAAATATCAAGCTGGGAGACAAGTATGCAATGAGGGTTCAGTATATTTGGGGGATATTGTATTTCTAGGCATTATTAATACAAGAGTAAAAGCTTCATTTTTATAAATCCATTCAATAATCAATTGAACTTAGTTTAGTGAATTCTTTCTGTGTGCTCCAGACTGTTAGGTTGTTGGACTAGAGCAGTGGTTCTCAACCTTCCTAATGCCGCAACTGATTAATACAGTTCCTCATGTTGTGGTGACCCCCAACCAAAAAATTATTTTTGTTGCTACTTCATAACTGTAATTTTGCTACTGTTATGTCTTAGGAGACCCATGTGAAAGGGTCATTCGATCCCCAAATGGGTCATGACCCACAGGTTGAGAGCTGCTGGACTAGAGCATATAGTCTATTTGGGGGATGCAGATTAGACCAGTATCCATGAAGTTATGACACAAGGGTGAGTACCACTATAGGTAGAGGGCTAAGTACAGGATGATAGGGGAGAACACAGGAGGGATACCTCAGCTAGCCTTGGAAGTTCAAGAATGACTTCTGGGAGAAAATGACTTTAAGCTGAGACCTCAATGATAACTAGGTGCTCATCACTTGAAGGAGTGTAGAGGGGACAGGAGATTAGGAGAAACCTTGAGAGATTTAAGCAGCTGTCAGCACCTTAGTCTATTGGGCACACAGTGGGGCTATTGGGGTTGGGGAAGATGAAGTTGAAGGCCTAAGTCAACAGTGTCTTTTAGATCAATGTAAGGATTTTAGACTTTATCTAAGGGCAGTGGACTATCACTGAGGGGTTTAAATAAGGAGTCGTTGAAAATTATGTTATTGGAAATGCTTTTTGAATTTTATAACAATCCTTAAAACTTACTTTATTTGCTTTTAGAACCAGGAACAATTGAAAGATGATGACTCCGATCTTATTCTCAATGATGGTGATATTAGTTTGACCTATGGGGATTCTACTGTGAACACTGAATCAGCAACATCTGGTGCCCCAAGGAGATTTATGGGAAACAGTTCTGAAGATGCTTTGGATCGGGAGCTTGCATTTGGAGACCATGAACTGGTCATTCGGGGAACACGCCTGGTTCTTCCTATGGATGATTCTGAACCCCCATTAAATTTGTTAGATAGTACGAGACAGAGTCCAGCATAAACTTACTAATACTCACTTATTGATTTGTACAATTTGCACATGTGATTGTGAAGAAATTCGTACTACGTACTACCTAAAAAGTCCCAGTGCATGTCTGAATGTTTAAGCTATATAAATGCTATTTATATGGCATCAAAAGAATGTAAATATCACATACAAGGAAAATTGTGAAAAAACTCTTTTGTTATGTTTTATTGGCTGCAGTATGTAGACTAGATCTGTTTTAGAAATTTATTTTCAGTGATGATGTGTGTTCTGTTAGCTTTATGTCTCATTTAAAATATAAAAGGTAACAGATTTACCCTTTCTTATATTTACCTGATACTTAACCAGAGTTACGTTCTTGTGATGTGAGCTAATTTTGTTTTGTGGGAGGGGAGAGGAAAAGAGGGGAGGGGGAGAAGAAGAAAGAGGGAATGTTATTTCTGGGAGAGCCCAGGGAGGAGAGATTCCTTTGTTGGGAAACTTATGTTGATTGCATCTGCTTTTGTGCTGACCTTTTTCTCTGTTTTGGCGAAAGAGGCTGATGCCATTCTTATCTTGCCCCATTTAGGGTGGGGAGTGAAGTGTTGGGCCCCTTTTCCCCCTTGCTATGAAAGAACTGATTCCTTGACTGACTACAGTACATTGTTGTTGGGAAAAGAAAGCTGCAACTGATTTCCAAGACTTGGTTTCTTTTCTTCCAGACCAAGACCATGGAAGGAGATGCTTCCAGCAAGCTTAGCCAAAGTACAGGTGTATATAGTTCAGGGCACTTGATTTCAATTTGGAGGGGCTGGGGTGGGCTGAGAGGGGGCAGAGGGCAGGAGGGGAGAAAAGAGAATGGTGGTTTGCAGGTCTCTCTTCCCAAATATGTAAATATTCTATACCAGATAAGTTTAAATAAGAAACTCAATTGCTGCTTACGTTTTGATTTCTATACGTGATCTATATAACAAGCTTTGTGTTCAGAAATTTTAATATCGATTTAAATCGCTGCTCTATAGCAGACAGACAGGAGCAAACGTAAAAATTTTGAACTTACTGTGTCTAATTGTCATTTGTTAGTCTATAGGTAATGTTAAAAGTTAATTTATGAACCCATGATTGTTGCACACTACACTGAAGTTGGTCATAGGAGAAATTCAGTGCTGTGGAGAACTTATTGTAAGGGTGGTGACTCTGTGTGCGCTGGTGTAGTTGTCTTTATTTTCATGTTACTACCTAAGCTGCCATGTGTTTTTGGTTTTTACAGTTTTCAAGGAAGAGTACATAACAATTTCCCCTTTCATATTCAGAGTATGAAAGTGGATGCTATTTTGTGATGCTGAAAATACCTAAAGCTTGGAAAGGGGATACTTTCTTATGTTGATTCTGACCTGTTAATGTTACAAAAGGAAAAGAGAAACTTTTGTGGGTGCCCCCTTCTTCCCGTCAGGTCTGAGTAGCATTGCCTTAAATTTTACCCAGTTCAAAAATTGATTTATTCCCACGATGTTCAAATTTTCCAATGAAAAATATCTTTCCAAAAAATATATATTTATTCTCCCAAAGGTATGTGTGCTGTTGTAAATACTTGAGATTTTAAGAGAATTCTACTGTTGTACATTTGAGTGGCAGCTCTAACTTTTGACAGAGCCATTTGTTATGTAGTGATAGTGACTTTCCTGCTATGCAGGAACCCTGTGATGTGTGCATTTTATATGATGTGCCTCTTCATGCAGTCAATCATTTCTTGTTAATGTATGCTTGAGGAGCTTTGAACTTCAGTGTCATTTACCCATGACGTTATTCACGTTGTAAAAGGTTATACAGGAAATTAACAACTACAGTTTTTATTCTGTCAGGTTACTGAGTTCACTTTATGAAAATGACTGTAAATACTTAGCATGACACACTCAGAAACTTGTCTGTTTCAGCATGCATAAGACTTTTTCTTAGAGAAACTGATAATGCTTAAGTCTAAATCAGCCTTTGTACGTTATCAAAAGGGAACCAAGCCTGATGTGCTCACATCAGCATCTGGAAGATTCTCTTCTCCTCTAATCTGTGTGCACATCTCCAAGCAAAGAAGGAAAAAACAAACTCTGCTCATATATCTGTTGGGTTTAGACACCTGAAGGAACCTAGATGAAGTACAGTCTGAGTTGCCATCATGCACAAGTAGAGATGCTCTCAGACGTGTTTTCTTTTGTTGTTCTTTGTGAACCCTACATGTTTGAATAGCTTGAACATTGCATCTTTTAAACTTATTTTTAAGGTTCTTTGGCATTTTATCCTAGTTGTTCGTGTTTGGCAATGTGATGTTACAGTAATAGACTTTTAATTTTTATGTATTTTTTGTTTGTTCTCCCTTGGAGTACTTGGACAAATGTTATAGTGGTTTCTTTTAGGAAAATCTGTCATTAAAAAAAATTATAGCCTTTCAAATAACCACTCACTGTATTTAAATCACAATTTATTCTAGTGAGAAGAGTGCTGACTTCATTTATCTTCTACCTATATACCTAGTGTGAAAGGAGGAAGAAAGATGTTTTAAAAAGAAACAAACAGAAACCTAACAACATAACTTACAGGGCAGTAAATTTTTGATGCTTATGTGTAAGGCTGAATGTATTTGCTTATGGTCACAATTGGACCATTTACAAAATATGACTCAAAGTAGTCAAATCCTGTTGCACTGGATGGTAGCCTGTTAGCTCAATAATGTATAATGTCATGAAAATTATGTTGAGTCTATGGGGAGAATAAATTCTGTATCCACTTAAGTAGAAAGGCAGATTCCAACTTTGGCTGAAAGCATGATCAAAAAATAGTTCTTTTTCCAAGTTAAAGCTACATCTTTTTAGCATATGAGGGGTTTTGTAGGTTAAAGTGTGCTGACAGCAACTTTGTCTAGTTGAGTAATGGCACCAACCACATTATTACTGTGTTTTGTTGCCATCCATTCCAGCTTCCTTGCTCATGGTCCCGCAAGAGACAGGTGGTGAAGCTACATATCTCAGGCTCTTTTCTTGACTAAGCCCCTGTTTTCTAATACACAAATCAAACCCTATATTAGATTTGAGCAATACATTTGTTAACATGACTAGATACAGGAGCATAAGGTAGGTGAAAGTATAGATGTTTTGACTTGATCAGAAAGTCCTTGATAGGAAGTACCCCACACATGATGCAGTATGAGGTATGAGGCATGAAATAAATTGGAAATAATAACAACAGTCATTCCCCCTTTTTAAGCCCCTTTTAGATAAAGCAAGTGTGTAGATGAGGTATTTTTAAATTTACATATTAATTTAATCTTAATCCTATGGGGAACATTCTATTCTCATTTCAAAGATTAGGAAACAGGTTCAGAGAAGTTGTTACACTGCTAGTAAGTAAAAGAGCCAGGATTCAAATCCAGTCTTGACTCCAAAGTCTAAACTGTTAACCACTACTCTACTAGCTTTAGTGACAGGATCCGGGCTAATCCATCTCGAGTATGCCTAGAAGGATGATGAAGGGAACTGTAGACTTCTGTCATGCTACACGCCACCTGTATGACATTAGGCCAGGGTAGGGCATGAAGTCCTATCTCTGTTCCTCCACTTGCTGCACTGTTATCTGAAGACATGAATTTCCCTGGTTGGGAAGTTTCTCAAATTCTTAGTGAAATGCCTGTGTCTCTGAGCCTGTGGGCAAGACAACCTGGCTAACACCATGCCTTCACACTCCACCTTCCAACATTTTCACCAAGGGGCCCATGTCTTAGGGCAGAGCTTGTGGTCCTGAACAATGGTTCTGTGACCACATAGTTTGGTATATTAGAAAAAAACCCAGGCTTTGGAGTTACACAGACTTGGGTTTAAATCCAGACTCTGTTGCTTGCTTATTGTGTAACATCTGCCAGTTGCCTTTCCACATTCTTAGTCATAAAGTTAATTTATTCAAGAAATAGTTGAGTATTTACTTTGTGCCACACACAGTAGATACAGCAGAAAACAATAGTTCCTGCCCTCACAGAACATATTCTACAGGAGATGCCAACAGCCGTCTTGGGTTGTTAGGAATCATTCATGCAAGAAAGACTGATTGCCTTCTGGTAGGGGAATATCTAAAATAATCAGCAAATAACACCAAGTATAATAATCATAAGGCTATGATGGAAAACTACAGGAGGCCATGAGAGGGGACTGTGATCTGGTGGTAGGGGAAGAGGGAAGATTTTCCTGACCAAGTGATATTTTAGTTTAACCCTCAAGAGTAAGCCAAGGGTCAACCAGATGAAGGGGGTAAGGATGAAGAGCATGCCAGGAAGAGTGAACAGTGACAGATTTCCACCTACACTTGACCTTTCATACAACATTCAATCAAATAGTTATTGAGTGACCAACTATATATATCCATATAGTGAGGAATAAAAACATGCAGGCTCCCCTCTTAGCACTTGCATATTAGTGTGTAAAACAAAACATAGTACCCACCAATCACAGTAAGAAGCACCTGAAACCCAAACCTGCCCCTCAACTTCCTCCCCTTCAGCCCTCTCCCACTGTACATCTCAGGCAACTCCACACCCCTCCTCTGAGTAGCACCCTTCAGAACTTTGAAAAGAGGAGCTAGTTTGTCTTTTCTGAGTCTTTCCACCCCCAAGGCTTACAACCCCATTCTCTTCCTTTCTTCTGGACACACACCAGAAGACGTGTTTATGAACGCACCTAAGACCACATTGACTTTTTATTTCAGTGGCCACTTCCCCCTCATTTTACAGTGAGCTGCCACCAGAAAGTGGGCCAGCCCCCTGCCCTCATGGAGTTTACATTCCAGTCAGGGAAGGCTGACCACAAATAAACAGATAGACATAAAATAATAAGAGATTGGGACAAGTGACAAATAGGAAATGTGATAGAGGGTGATGGGTGTGGGAAGTGAGGGCAGGGCAAGTATGAGAGGGCTTCTCAGGAGGCCTTGCTCAGGAGGTAACCTTAGAACCAAGGCTTGAAGGAGCCAGACAACCAGAGAACAGGGGAAGAGTTGTGAAAAGGTCTGGTTTAGGGTAGATACTCAACAGATGTTTGTTGAAAAGGAGTGAAATGTCCCCCTGACCTTTATTGAGTTGAATTTCGAAGACCAGCATGGTAGCATAGGAGTGATACAGGATAGAATCAGCCCTGTCTGCCACTGGGCACTCTTAGGAAGCCACTTAAAACCCTCTGAGCCTGTTTCTTCCTTAAAAAAATGCTGACAGTTCATAGATTCAGTAAATATTTATTGAGCTGTTGTCATGTGCCAGCACTGTGGTAGGTACTGGATTATAATTCCAGCCCTAAGTAGCTGTCAGGATGGTTTGTGGAATCAGATGAAGTGATATACAATACCTTGAAGCATTTTGACCAGGATTCAGAAGGCTTTTGAAACGGAGGGAGGTTGAGTATTCTGTAAGGTTTTGCTGATGAGGTGATATATGAATAAAATATGGAAAACTTTTCACACCATTCTTCTACTGTAAGATGCTTTCCTTCAGAATCTCCAGTTCAGCAAGTTGGAGGTATCACAAGTGGTTGCCATAGCAAAGGCTGAACTCTGAGAACTGGCTTAGTTGGGGCTGTGATGGCTGCAGCCTGAACTCCATGAGACCTGAAGGTTTCTGGCTAATTCTGTCTGCTGAGTAAAAGAGCCACTCTCCTTTACCACACACTCATACAACAATTGCAGCTTAGGAGTCCTCTCCTTGGTGTCCTGGCTGGACACCAGATCTGTTCATTTCCCACTTGGTGCTATCTGATGAGTGCTGAGACCCACTAAAGAGACGCAGCTTAGTTCTGCATGTTATTTCTTTTGCAGTAATGAAAAAATGCATTGAAAGCTCTGTGAGCACTTCTTGGAAACAAGGTTTAATTTCTCCAGGTTTGTTGAAAATGAAGTGGTTCACTGTATTTAAATATTAATACTACAAAAATTACTTGAGAAATATTCAATTCTTGGTTGCTTTGGGAGGCATGAGGCTTTATTGTATTTTTGTTGTTGTTGTTGTTCATTTGAATTTCCTCTACAGTTGTGTTCCCATGTGGGCTCAGCAAAAAAACATGTAAGCTATTGTTTTCATTTGAAAAATCTGAAAGACTTCTGTCAGATAATGGAAGATACCTGTTTTTTCCATCTGAGATCTGGTTTTGTATGAGATTGCAAGATAATGACAATTGGACCACATGATCATGCTACAATTTTTTTAACACTTTCTTGAAACCTCAACAAAGTTCCATTTTCTAAGGGGGACCAAGAGGTTTATGTTTAAATATTCCAGTCAACTAATCTTTACTTACCAACTTCCAGTTACAGACACTGAGCACCTCACATGGGTTGTGCCCTGGGCCAGGTACTGGGGACACAGAGGTAGCTAAATCATACTTTTGATCTAAGATGACTGCAGCCAATTAAGTAAAAAGTTGTTCAATTGTATGAACCCTATTAGAGAGGGATTGCTGTATGGAATTCAGGTTCCTCCCCATTGTGGCTTATGGTTGGTAGAATAATGACCTCCAAAGATGTTCATGCCCTAATTCCTGGAAACTGTGAATATGTTGGATTACATAGAAAGGGGAATTAAAGTTGTAGATGGACTAAGGTGACTAATCAGCTGATTTTTAAATGGGGAGATTCCTGGATTATCCGGGTGGGCCCAATCTAATCACACAGGCCCCCCAAACTTTCCTGGCTGTGTTCAGAGAAAGAGATGTGATGGCAGAAGCAAGGTCAGAGAGATGCTACATTCTTGGCTTTGAAGATAGGGGAAAGTGGTCCCTAGAAACTGGACAAGGCAAGGAAAAGGGTTCTCCCCCTAGAGCCTCCAGAAAGAACACAGGCCTGCTGACACCTTGGTTTTAGCTCAGTGAAATCTATGTCAGACTTGTGACCTACAGAACCATAAGATGACAAGTGGGTGTTGTTTTAAGCCACTGAGTTTGTGGTATTTTGTTATGGGGTAATAGATAACTGACACTGACTTGGAGGGAGAGGTGTTGTCTCTGTTAGTATGCAGTTGTGAATGCCTGCTCTGTGTCAGACCCTGTGAATGGTGCTGCAGATACAAAATTGAACAAGATGCAGAGTCCACAGTCCAGTGGGGAAGACTGTTGCTATAGAAACAACATAGCACCACAACGAAGGAAAGCCCAGATGATAAACACAACCTGGGGAAGGATGGGGAGGCTGGAGAAGCCCTGCCATTTCTATGAATTTACCCTACCTTTAACTAACATATCTGTATTACTCATTGGTATAAGAAATTTTCCCAGGTTTCTATGCCCACTACATATCAGGGAGTTACAATGTATGGGAGAAATGATCAGTTTGGGTTCTAGAAAGGTCACTTTCATTGTGGCTGCAGTGGGAAAGATGGATTATCTTGATAGGCAAGATTGGACATGGATGATGGTTGGAAGACTTGGCCTGAGAGATAGTGATGACCTGGACTACAAAAATGTCAATGGAGATGGAGAAGAGGGAATAGATGCAAGAGACATTTAGTTCAACTCAACAGAACCTAGAGACAAAATCTAGTGAAGGAGTAAGAGGGGGCCAT